GGGGGCGGGGGGGCAGCATTCCACAGCAGCCCCCACTTTCTGGAAGCGGGGGAGGGGTGCGCTTTCCTGGACTCCGGCGGGTGGGTTGCAGGCGCCCAGCTTCCGGTCGCGGAAAGAGAACTCGTGATGCCTGACTCGATCCCGCTTCACTGGTCCCTGGAGTTGGGGTCGGGGCGGGGAGACTTTCCCCAACTCTTCAGCGCCCCCCCAGACTGAGGCCTGGACGGTGGCCATGCCTCCCTCCTCTGGCTCCGGCTCAGCACTGCCCCCACCCCCAGCCCGCGGAGCGGGGGCTCCCTGGACCACCGAGATTTCCCAGGGAGCACTGGGAGGGAGGGCGAGGGGTTCCCTCTTCCCACAGCCACCAACGCATTTCTCAAAATGGAGCCTCCGCTCGCCCCTCCTTCTCGCCGGCTCCCCGAGCGGGCGCCCCGCCGCCCGCCCGCGGCCTGGTTGCAGACGGCTGGCTCCAGCTCCGGGCAGCTGGCTCTGGGGACCCAGCTTTGCCCCGGGCTCGCTGCTCGCCTAGTGGGCCCAGCCTGAGCCTCTGGGCCTCTCCGAGCCTTTGTCTCCTCCCTTTCTTTCTTCGAGCCTGCCTCTTCCCTACGTTGCTTAAGTTCTCGGGAAAGGCCGCCGGAGTGCCCTTTCCCCCCCCCCCCCCCCGTTGCCCCCGAAAATAATGGAGGCGGGAAGGGCCGCTGCTCGCCCTGCTCAGGGCCTGGGCTGGTGGGGTGCTCGCAGCCCTCACAAAAGGGCCTGCCGTTTCTGTGTGATCTCTGCTCACCCTGTACTCCAGCTGTTCACCCCGCCATCTGGATACCTTCTTGTGGAGGAGTGGGGTGGACCTAATGGAAGATGGGGACCAGAATCGCCTGTCACCCTCCACTCCAGTGGGGGGGCAAAAAACCAGCTCCCACCCTGCCCCCTCAGGCGCACAGCCCTCTGTACACACCTGCTATTCACACACCCACTGCTCATCCTATTCTTCCACCCACGTGTAAACTAAAACACACACACTCATGCCCATGAATGTTCTGAGACATCTGTCCAAACATAGTTCTCTGGCCACTCATCGGAAGGGACTTCCACAAGTTTGTGGCAATGTGGAATGGAAAGAGAATGAAAGTTTCCCATGAACCTTGTGAAGCCCCCTTGTATATTCACTCTTCTATATCTGTGCCTTTGTAACTCACACATTTTATAGTGGTCACCCCTGTTCACTCATGTCCTCTGTTGAGATACACTCCTGGTGGCACACGGCACACGTGACTTGTGTCTTGACATAGATTATATGGACTACACTCATGCCTGATATTTTCTCACACGGTCCATGGTCCTCAGTTCCAATTCCTAGGGCACAGTTGGGTAAACAAGGAACTGCTCACCCCAAAGTCAGTGGTTCAACACCCCCCACCCCCGCCCCAGCCCTCTGAAGGTGTCCAGTTCAGAAACCCTCTAGAGTTGCTATGCGTTGGAATCAACGTACGGGTAGTGAGTTTGGTCTTATCCATATAGTCAAGGAACCGTAGGCATTAAACTGCAAGCTTGGTAGTTCGAGCCCATCAGTTGCTCTGCAGGAGAAAAATGAGGCTGTCTCTTCTGGTAAAGCTTTCTAGTCTTGGGAACTCTTTAAGGGGAGTTGCACTCTGCCTTCTAGGGTCACTTTGAGTCCAAATTAACTTGCCGGCTGTGGGATTTACACACGGGCATAGTCAAGGCGCCCTGGCGGCACAGCGGTTAAGGGTTCAGCTGGTAACCAAAAGGTCAGCCGTTTGAATCCACCAGCCGCTCCTTGAGAGACAGCTGTGGCGATTTGCTTCTGTAAAGAGGACACCCTGGACAACCTAGGGCCTTTCTGCTCTGTCCTGTAAGGTCTCCGTGTCGCACTGAATCTGGGGCAGGCTGTGCACACAGGCTCCCTCAGCACTCTGTCCACTTCTGATGACCGCAGCAGATGCCCGGGTTCTGGTCAACGGCTTCAGAGCTGAGGGGGCAGTTCTGGGTGGAGGCCTACTGTTCTCTTCCAGGAAGGAGCGGGGCCTGGGTAGGTGGAGCCCTTTTCCCTGGACTCCGGGCTATGTCATGTAGGAGCAGCTGCCAGAGGTGAGGGTGAGACCTTTGGGTTGGAAAGCTTGGCTCAAGGAGGGGCTGCCCCTTCATCCTGGGGAGGTTCCTTTGGGGTACTAGCTGGAACAGGCCGGTTCTTAGAGGTTGGCAGTAGGGCAGGGTGGTGGAGGCTCCTGATAGATGGGCACTGGGGAGGCTGGGCGTTGTCATGGAAACAAGTGTGTGGCTGTATCCACCTCTGGGAGGCAGGAGACCCCAGAGGGTACTTGTGAGCTTCCTAAAAGGGCCCGGGTTTCTGGTTCAGCAGGCTCTATCCTGACCGCCTCTCTGTCTGGGAGAAACTGAGGCCACGCTGGGGGAGCCTGGGCACTGCCTGGCCTTAGCTCTTTGTTCCCTAATTACCATCTGAGTTGCTGATGGCGTCCCTGAGATGGTTTCTGTCCAAAGTGCCCTGTAATGAGGCCACCTGTCCCAGGGGACCAACCCAAGTCCTGGCCTCTATGGGTGACACAGGATTGGTCTCAGGCCTTGACCTGGGCCTTGGCTGCTGGGGTGGGGGGGCTCATATAGCCACGTGAGCCCTCTTGCCCTGGCACCGTCTCTGCCCATTAGACTCAATGCTCAGCCCTGTCCAGACCAGAGTTGATGGTGATCTGCGGCCCAGCCTAGGGAGGTGCACACTCTTGCTTGGAAGGGGAGTTGGGGTGGGGTGGGAGGTTGGAGATACAGGTGTCTGGAGGGCAGGTCCCATGTCATGCCTCTGCCCACAGGTTGCCCTGGAGGCCCCTGGCCCGGTCTGAGCCCCCACTGTCATGGCGATTGTTCAGACCATGCCGGTGGCACTGGAGGCCACCCCTGAGGCCACCACTGCCCCCCACGCTCCAGCCATGGGCAGCGTGAGCAGCCTCATCTCTGGTCGGCCCTGCCCGGGGGGCCCAGCTCCCGCTCGCCACCACGGCCCCCCTGGGCCCACCTTCTTCCGCCAGCAAGACGGTCTGCTGCGCGGTGGCTATGGGGCACAGGAGCCACTCTGCCCAGCTGTGCCCCCCAGGAAGACCGTCCCTGCTGCCACCTTCACCTACATCAATGAAGACTTCCGGACAGAGTCCCCTCCCAGTCCCAACAGCGATGTGGAGGATGCCCGAGAGCAGCGGGCACACAACGGCCACCTCCGCGGCCCCCCACCAAAGCTCATTCCCGTCTCCGGGAAGCTGGAGAAGGTGAGGACCAGCGTGCGGAGACCTCCCAGGGAAGCTAGAATGGGGAGGGCTGTTCAGAGGACAGCACGGGCTCCAGATTCACCAGACCCAGACTGTAGGACCGGAGCAAATGCACGTACCCTCTCTGGGTCTCCCCATGGGATCTGGGCGTTGGAGGCCATCGGTCAGCCCGAGAAAGAATTGTTCTGAAAAACACTTGGACTAGTACTTGTCTGGCACGTGCTTTTAAAAATGGTTCGCTGCTTCAAGTCCTGCTATCGCAGCCATGCCTTTGGCTCGGGGAAAGGCCTTTCGCCTTGCCGAGCCTCCCTTCCCTTAGCTGGGATAGTGGGACAGGGACAGGATCTGGCTTGAGTGGCTATTGTAACGATTAGGGATGAGCCTTTTAGAATTACTTGGCACAAAGCTGACACTCCATGGGCCCATAGCTGGTGGTAGCGGTTGCTACTAATGTGTGGGATTGGGACTCCTGGTGGGAGGCCAGGGACCATGATGGGGGGTTGGAAAGATGGGGTAGCTCACCCTGTGTCACCTGGTCCCCTCCTTTCAGAACATGGAGAAAATCCTGATCCGCCCAACAGCCTTCAAGCCAGTGCTGCCCAAACCTCGTGGGGCACCTTCCCTACCTAGCTTCCTGGGTCCCCGGGCCTCAGGGCTGTCCGGGAGCCAGGGCAGCTTAACACAGCTGTTTGGGGGGCCTGCCTCCTCCTCCTCCTCCTCTTCCTCCTCCTCGGCTGCCGACAAGCCCCTGGCACTGAGTGGCTGGGCCAGCGGCTGTCCATCTGGGACACTCTCTGACTCTGGCCGAAACTCACTGTCCAGCCTGCCTACCTACAGCACGGGGGGCACCGAGCCGGCCACCAACTCTCCCGGTGGACACCTGCCCTCCCACGGCCAAGGGCGGGGGCCACTGCCCGGGCCACCCCGAGGGGCCCCGACTGGGCCCTCCCATTCGGACAGTGGCCGCTCCTCTTCCAGCAAAAGCACAGGCTCCCTGGGTGGCCGAGCAGCCGGGGGTCTCTTAAGTAGCAGGCCACCCCGGGCCTCCCCTGACAGCAGTTCCTGTGGGGAGCGCTCCCCACCACCACCACCCCCTCCACCCCCCTCGGACGAGGCCCTCCTACACTGTGTCTTGGAAGGGAAGCTACGTGACCACCGGGAAGCTGAGCTTCAGCAGCTGCGGGACAGCCTGGACGTGAGCGAGTCCACCGGGTGCCAGGTGTGGTCTGTGTCCGCCGTTGGGGGGCGGGGGGGCATCCACCCAAGGAGCATTTCTACTGGCAATGATGGGGTGGGGCGTTTGCTGTTGTGGCCACACCCCTACCCCAGCTGTTTGGCTGCACCTATAAAATGGTGAGTCAGTTGGTGAGGATTTCAACCCAAACTCCCTTACAAGTTCACTGTTGGTCTGGAGCAAGGGTCCGAGCCTTACAGCGCCTCGGGTGCTGCATCTGTGAATCTCAGGGCTTCTGGCCTCAAACCTTGTGTGGAGATTACATAAAGCGAGGGGGATAAAGGATTTAGCCCAATGCCTGCCACCCAAGACGTGCTATCCTAAGTTCCTGCTTGTGTGACTGCCACTCTGTTGTTACAAGCACCCTAGAGGTGTGGAGGGTTAAGGACTGGGCTGCTAGCCACCAGGTCAGCGGTTCAAACCCACCAGCTGCTCGGTAGGAGAAAGATGGGGCTGGCTGCCCTCGTGAAGACCTCCAGCCTCAGAAACCCCATCCAGGGTCACTGTGAGCCCTTATCGACTGGATGGTGGTGGGTTTGGGTTACTGTTCTCATTGAAGTAGCTGCTGTTTCTGTCATGGTGGCTCATCCCTCCCTGAGCCCAGACCAGGGGCCCGCCAGAGCAGGCAACGAGCAGGGTACAGGGAGAGGGTAGACCGGCTCCAGGTCTGGGAGCCGTGCAGGACCCAGAGCTGTCTTCCGGCCCACAGGTGTACGAGGACCGGCAGCGACACTGGCCGAGAGAGCGGGAGCCACTGCGAGAGGACTGTGCAGCGCAGGCGCAGCGGGTGCAGCGGGCCCAGCAGCTGCTGCAGCTGCAGGTCTTCCAGCTGCAGCAGGAGAAGCGGCAGCTGCAAGACGACTTTGCGCAACTGCTGCAGGAGCGGGAGCAGCTGGAGCGGCGCTGCGCCACCTTCGAGCGGGAGCAGCGGGAGATGGGACCACGGCTGGAGGAGACCAAGTGGGAGGTGGGGGCCGGCCCAGGAGGAGAGGGGAGCAGGGCACTCAAGCCCACCCTCCCTAGACCTGCCACTGCAGAAGGACCCCCTTCCTCTTGCTGGGTGCCCCTTTTCAGCAGGCACCTCCTCGTGCCCAGCTCTCTGCCCCAGCCACCTTCCTCCCAGGCAGGGCAAGAATGTGCTGCTTGTGACGTGCCGAGCACTGTCCTCAGCATGTCACTTTGATGGCTTCATGTAACTCTTACCACCACCCACAAGCGTCGTTTTCATAGAGGAAGCTGAGGCCCAGAAAGGGTGGAGGGCAGACACATACCTCAGAGTGCCCGGGCTGAGATTAGAATCGAGGCAAATCTCTGAACCCATAAAAACACTGTACCTCCTGCCAACCCAGCTGGACATGGTCCTCCAGTGCTGCTCACGTGCAGTAGCTGCCCCTCACCCTCCACCCTAACACACACACCCCCTGCCTCAGGCAGTACTTCTACCGTGTCTGGTGATGGTGTAAAGACCAGCGTGACAGACAAGGACGTGGCCTGTCTGCCACTTTAGCTATGTAGTAGCTGTGTCACCACTCTTGCCTCAGTGTCTGCATCTGTAAAATGGCTGGAGCGGTTGACCCTCCTCTCCCCAAATTCCCAGCACGACGCTCAGGACCTGACCCCTGGGGCAAGCCCTTCTCCCCACCCCGCCTGACCACTGGCTCCATTCCCCCCACAGGTGTGCCAGAAGTCAGGCGAGATCTCCCTGCTGAAGCAGCAGCTGAAGGAGTCCCAGGCAGAGCTGGTGCAGAAGGGCAGTGAGCTGGTGGCCCTGCGGGTGGCGCTGCGGGAGACCCGGGCTGCGCTGCGGGTCAGTGAAGGCAGGGCGCGGGGCCTCCAGGAGGCAGCCCGGGCCAGGGAGCTGGAGCTGGAGTCCTGCTCCCAGGAGCTGCAGCGGCACCGCCAAGAGGCAGACCGGCTGCGGGAGAAAGCAGGGCAGCTGGATGCTGAGATGGCCGGACTCCGGGAGCCCCCTGCGGCCCCTGCCACCGCTGACCCCTTCCTCCTGGCAGAGAGCGACGAGGCCAAAGCACAGCGGGCAGCCGCTGGGGTGGGGGGCAGCCTGCGTGCCCAGGTGGAGCGGCTGCGGTCGGAGCTGCAGCAGGAGAGGCGGCGGGGCGATGAGCAGCGGGACAGCTTCGAGGGGGAGCGGCAGGCCTGGCAGGCCGAGAAGGAGCAGGTGATCCGCTACCAGAAGCAGCTGCAGCACAGCTACATCCAGATGTATCGGCGGAACCGGCAGCTGGAGCAGGAGCTGCAGCAGCTCAGCCTGGAGCTGGAGGCTCGGGAGCTGGCTGACCTGGGCCTGGCGGAGCCCGCCCCCTGCATCTGCCTGGAGGAGATCACTGCCACAGAGATCTAGGGCCACCGCAGCGGCTCTGCAGGGCGCTCTGCTGTCAGGGTGCCACCTCACATCACATCCACTCCACCCCAGGGCCCAGAGCCACTCGCCTCCTGGGATCCCCGGGTGGCCCTGGGGCCTGGAGGAGCAAGACCAACCCCTGGAGGTCCCCATGTGTCCTGTCACCCGGAGGCTCCTTACCCACTCCACCTGTTAAACTCCCTGTTACCTACACCACTCCGCCAGCCCGCCACCCCCAGACGCTCACCAGCTCACCCCAGCCCCCCGGGGAGCCACAAGGACAGAGGGACCCCCTCATCACTACCACGCGCTTGCGCACCCCAACGCCAGAGACAGCCAGATGGCACCAGCTGCCCCAGATGTGCCTGCCCCCACCCTGTCCACATTGGGCTCAGGGCTGGGCCTGGGGTCCGCTCCCCAGGGTTCCCGCTCTAGCCCCTCGTGGGGAGAGGGGGCTGTAGTCAGACCAAAGGAAGAACTCAGAAATGTTTATTTGTGACCAAGCGACCCCTTCCCAACACCTAGTTTATGGCCTCGCTTTCACTTGTATATTTTTCACACTGTAAATTTCTTGTACAAACCCAAAGGGGAAAAAATTAAAAAATTGCTTTGTTTTTAAAAAAAAAAAAAGTGCTGGATGAAGATTGTAGGGATTCATTTGACTTCCTTCCCTGAACCCTCAGAGTCCTCTGGGAAGAGAGGAAAATCCAGCAGAAAGTCCCTAGTGGACCACCACATGAGATGACCTCAGGACTTCAGGGCAAGTAGCGCCATCCTGTCCTTCCCACTGAACCCCCACGGGCTGGGCATGGGGGCAGGGACGCCTCCCTAGCAGTGTCTCCATGTTTACAGGACCAAATGGGGACATCATGAGAAAGTGCTTCCAACCCCAGGCTTCAGATTTGGGTGTCTGGACCCTCTTTCTGTGGGAGGTGGGGTGCTGAGCACAGCTGACAGTCTACCCAGCAGCACCTCATACTTAGGAACAAAGCTTCTCTGGAAAGGACAGTGTGCCCTGGGCACTCTGGGAAGGGAGGGACGTATGAAGACCAGACTATTGGTGTGGAGCTGAGGGTATAGGGGTCCTGAGCAGGAGGCAGGTCCAGGAGATAGCAGGAAGCTTCTACAGCAGCGGTTCTCAACCTGTGGGTCGCAACCCCTTTGGGGGTCAGACAGCCCTTTCACATGGGTTGCTTAATTCATAACAGTAGCAAAATTACAGTGTTGAAGTAGCAACAAAAATAATTTTATGGTTGGGGGTCACCACCACATGAACTGTATTCATCGGTCACTCACTGCACGAGGAAGGTTGAGAACCACTGCTCTAGAGGTCAATAGGCTGTGGGGATAAGTAGGAAGTCTGGTTGGTATTTTTGCATCAAGTCTGGAGGGCTGAAGGCATCTCCTCCTGGACACCAGTGGGTGTGGTCTAGGTGGACCTGCAGGGGGTTGTGGGACCGGGTTTGGACTAGTGTAGGGGATCAGTGGTCTGTGGCTGGGTCAACAGGAAGATGCTAGTCAGCGGCGAGGAGGGCTGACAAATCAGAGGGTCATGGAGGTGGTGTGGGCCCAGGGACCCTGACCACAAGCTCCATGGGTTCCTGAGCCTTGTTTCGATAGGCACGGCGGATGGTGTCCACCGCCCGCTGGTGGGTCACCTGCTGCAGGCTCTCTCCATCCACTGCCACAAGCTCAAAGCCGGCCTGGGACGGGGGGTGGAAGAATCACAGCCCACCCTCCCTCAGGTCAGGGTCACTCCACCACCAGACCTAGAGGCAGAGTCCTCTCACCTCTAGCAGCTAGGCCACTCCTCCCCCATCAGGAGCAGAGGGATGGACAATGGGACTTCTGTGCCTGGAGCCATTGGGGGCAGGGTGGGGCACAGACAATAAACCTTTGTCCCTTGGGGCTTGGGGGTGGAACTGGATGGGCTGCCCTCCGGCTCAGACTGGCAAGAGGGGACAGATTTTTTTCCCTTTAGGCCAGCTCATCTTGCATGCCTGACCCCTGGCCCTAAACCTCCTCCCACAGCCTGGTCTCAACCGGTCTGGCAGGAAGATGCCTTGACCCAGCCCCCACCCCCTGCTCTCAACTGGAGGGTAAGCCAGGCACTGGCCACTCACCTGAAGGGCCCCGCTGAGGAAGGCAGCTCCCCCAGGGAAGATCTTTTCTATCTTGACCATGGGCTGCACCTTGGACTCAATGCCCCCAGAAATGCTGATGCCTAGTGAGGGAGGGAGACAGGGTGAGCGATGCAGACACACCCCAAAACCCAGGGTTCCCGGTAGAAACCCAAGGCAGGGCATCAAACTTCCCACCCCCCATTTTGTTGGTACTGCAACCTCAATTCACTCCAAACAAATCTATACCCCCGATTTACCCTAACACCCCAGGGGTGCTTCCTGATGTTCAGACCCACTAGGTACACCCTCACAACCAAGCCCACCACCCTCACTCAAACTTGAGTGACGCTGCCAGCCCCAGGGCCACTCACCCAAGGACTGCTTCATCTTGGACAGAGTGACTGTCCTCAGCTCCCCGCTGGGGGTCTTCGGGGCTGCCTCCTTGGCTGGGATCCTGCCAGTCCCATTCTCGGATGTCCCTTGACTGTCCCCTGTCTTGGCTGGCTGCCCGTCCAGAGGTCGTGGCAAAGGGGGCCTGGACTTCCGAGGCTTGTGGTAGCGCCCATTGGCTGTGCTGATGGCGGGGACAGGCGCCGGAGATGGGGAACGTCTTTGTCCAGGGGACTTGCCTCGACCCCGGCTGCGGCTGCGGCTGCGGCTGCGGCTCTGAGCCGGACCCTGGCTGGGGATAGGCCTAGTGTCCTCTCGGGTTAGGGGCTCGGTCAGCAGCCAGTTAGGCCGTGGGGGCCGAGGAGCGACGGGAGGGGGCCGGGGCTGGGGTGCACAGGCGCTTCCACGTGGGGCAAAGGCATCTACTGGCACATCTTGCAGAGGGGGGAACCCTTTGTGGGAATGGCGGGAGGCCGAGACACCTGGGGAGACCTTGAGGCCCCCTAGTCTCTCCCTTAGGTCTCCCTCATCTTCCTCCTCCGAGAAGCCGTTCACAGGCAGTAGATAGAAGCCTCCGCGGCTGTCTGGGGAAGAGACCAAGGTCAGGCTGTCCCGGCATCTCTCTGGGCGCAGCCCACCCGTCCAGGCCCCAGCCCTTGGCTGGGAAGGGCCTGTGGGAGGCTGGCGTGGGTTTGCCCATCCTTAACAGCAGCCTCTTCCTGAAAGCCTTTTCCCACCAGAGCAGGCAAAAAGCTCCCACTGTAATAGTCATCCCATATGCAGAAGTAGTCTTCTAATACTTTGTTTACATGGTTACAGTTTTATTTGAACGTGTCTGAGAGGGGAGAAAATTAGCACAGCCAATGGTTTCTCAGAGAATACTGAATAAAACCAGATGAAATTTAAGAAGTGAGTGGTTTATAAATGACTCAGTAAATCATAGCACAGGTGGGACACCCAAGGCTCCAGACTGCCCTGCAGGGGATCTTCAAGTCCCTCCCTCAGAAGCTGGCAGGATCAGGAAGCCCATGGACCCTCCCCAATCCCCGCCCCGCTGCCCCAGGGTCGTGCCCCCTCCTCAGACCCTGCAATTCTGACTGACCAGGCACAGGGGTGATGAGATGTCGCTTGGGTGGGGTGTCCTGCCGGGCTGGCCGCAAAGCCGGAGGCCGAACTGGTAGGAGGAGACAGGTCAGCGGCGGGGTGCCCCTGCCAAGCTCCCTATTGGACACAGCTAAAGGGTCTCCAGCAATCTCTGTCCCTCCTCTCCCATGGGAAATAGCACCCTCATTTGGAGAGGCATTGCTCAGGATGATGCCTACCTTCCACCCCACCCCATCCCCCACCTGCTGACCTGCCCTGCTCTTGAGGGCGTCAAAAGCCTCTAGCTCCACGGGCATCACCATGCTGTCGAAGCGACCCAGGTCTGTGGGGGCCACCACACTCCTGGGAGAGGCCAAGGGGGGAGGTTAGCTGAGGCTCAGCTCTGAAGGTGGGGAAGGCTTCAGTCCAGGAGCCCCTCCCTGCCCCCAAACCTGCGCCAAAACCCCCTCCCCACCTGATGTCCCGCAGCAACAGTAGCTTCTCTGGTCTGTCCAGAATGGCCAGCAGGGGCCTCACCAGGTCCTCCACACCACCCTCGTGTACATACTGCAGACAGAAGGGTCACAGGTCAGACAGCAGTGGGGGACTTGCAGAGCTGGGTGAGAGCCAATGCCAGGGTGTGTAGCTGAACAGTCCCCCCAGACCCACCCACCCCACCCAGCTTTAGGACAGCTTCTCCCCACCCCCAGGCTGTCCACCGAACACCTTATCTTAAGGAGATTGGAGTAATAATCACAGGCTTTGTTAGAGACAAACCAACAGTAACAGCTCGGGGACAGACACTGTTGGAAACATTTCCCCACACGTTCTTTCATTTAGCTCTGCAACCACAGTAATGAGGTCCGTTTTAGAGATCAGGAAACTCAGAGGAGAGGCCTTGGCCCAAGGCCACACAGATAAGGAAGTGTGAGGAGGGAGAGGCTGGCTGGGCAGAGCTGTTAACAGTAAAGTCAGCGGTTGAAACCCAGCAGCTGCTCCGCGGGAGAAAGATGAGGCTGTCTACGCCCCTAAAAGATCGATAGCCTCAGAAACGACAGAGGGCAGTCCGACCCTGTCATCGTATAGGCTCGGGAATCCTCTCGCTGGCAAGGAGTTTGGGTTTTGCGTTTTGCTCTGGACCGAAAGGGGTGCGCAGGCACGGACTCTCCGCCCACTCTCACCTCCCAGGCCCAAGGAAGGAACAGGAGCCCAACATGACACAGGTGGGCCTGGTGGTCTCCGCGCGTGTCCGCAGACTAGGCTTGGTTTCCGGCTGGGATGGGGACCCGGGAGCAGGCTGCCTCTATAGGAAGGTGCTCCAGTTCGTGCCCCGGATATGGAGTCCCTGCTGCCTGGCACTGCCAGGATGCCACCGGTCTCTGCCCCTGCCACGGGCGCAGGCGAACTGAACTCTGGGAGCCCCCTCCTCGGCCGCCCCGCCCCCTGGTGGCCAGAGGCACACACTGGTCCAGACGGGCACTCGGGCGCAGAGCGCCCTCTACCGGCAACCACTCCCATTCACAGCATGCTGGCTGGTCCGAGCTGGTCACTCCTACTCCTGCGTCTGTACTTCCCCTGAGAAAGGCTGGGCTATCTTCTAATCACAGCTCTACCCTGTCCTGCTGGGTCGCTGTGAGTCAGCATCCACTCGATGGCAGGGAGTTTAGTTTGGTTTGGTTTGTGTTTGCTGACCTCAAACACATCAATGAGAGGGACACACAGGTCTGAACAACCCTCCCTTTATGTGCGGAGAGAGAGATGTGTCATCGCACTAAACTGGGTATCCGAGCACACACGTCAGTGTCACAAACTTGGTTTCCCACCGGCCCTGTACGGGGCAGTGGGGGCACAATGCAGGCCCGGTCGCAGACCCCCAGGGGCTCAATCTAGCAGAAAGAGAATGAGCCAAGTGCCCCAATGAACTACAAAGCCCCTGCAATGGGCAGGGTGTCTCAGAGGAAGGTGGAGGTTCCCAGAGGCCTCCTGGAGGTGAGGGTATTATAGGACAGCTGGAAGGAGCAGCATGGAGGGCGGGAAGAAGGCACAGTAGCGATGGGGACTGATTGCACACAGCAGTGGTTCTCAACTTTCCTCATGCCGCGACCCTTTCCTACAGTTCCTCATGTGGTGGTGACCCCCCCACCCTAAAATTATTTTGTTTGCTACTGTTAGGAATCGGGCGATTCCTGTGAAAGGGTCGTTTGACCTCCAAAGGGGTCAAGACCCACAGGTTGAGAACCGCTGGCATAGAGGTTTCACAGGCAGGGGAGTGGGGTACCAGGAGGCCCTTCCTAGTGGGATGAACAGAGCATGCTGTGGCTACGACCTGTGAGCAGCACCCCCAGACGTGTGCAGTTCATAACCTGTGTAAACTACTCCATGCCAGGGAGGGCGATAAGAAAGCTGAGTGTGCAGGGTCGGGGCTTAGACGTGAGGGTCAGGATTTGTGCTCTGGTTCTGCTGAAGCTGGGACTGGGGGCGGATGTAAGGCGTGTAAAGTGATCAGAAAGGTGGCTTCAAAGGTCTGGCCTGGTGGCAGTGGAGAGCTGGCTGGGAACGGGAGAAGAGTGGAGCACTAAGCACCCAAGCCACTCGGCGAGCTTTACTCGTTCCTCCGGCCAGGGCTCCGTCTCAGACTGTGTGAACTCCTGGTGTAGGTGTGGCTTGGGTTTGGTTTGGATGGTCTGTAAAGCTCCCAGGTGACTGGAGGGCACAGTGAGAGGCGGTCCCTGTTTGGCTAGGTGGGGTCAGCAGAGTGGAGGCGGGACCGAGGAAGAGTCAACAGAAGAAACAGACACAGACTTCCACCCAGTGGCCAGAGCTCGGAACTGCAGGCTGACAGGAGGAGGGCCACAGCCCCGCTTAAAGGTTCCGTTCAGAAAGGGGCAACAGTCAACATGTACCCCTGCCCACCCCTGCCCACCAGGGGATGAACAACAGAAACCGTGGGGAATGGAGACAGCGGGTGGTGTGAGATATGAAAATAATAATAATTTATAATTTATCAAGGGGTCACGAGGGTGGGTGGGAGGGAAAAAAAGAGGAGCTGACACCAAAGGTTCCAATAGAAAGTAAATGCTTAGAAAATGATGATGGCAACCTATGGACAAACATACTTGATACAATTGATGTAGGGATTGTGATCAGAGCTGTACGATCCCCCAATACAATGATCTTTTCATGAAAATAACGATAATAAAAGACCTACCATCTAAGATGGAAAAAACAAAACAGAGGGAGACCTAGTCAACATGTGCAGATACACAGAAGGTTTAGCCAGACCGGTGCTTGCCCACACCTTGAGACGCATCGTAGTCACGGCAACACGAACCCAGCTACCTCACACCCAACCCCACAGACACGTCAAGCAAGCACCATACAAGGAAGCCCGACTGTGGCCACCAGGAGGCTGTGGGGGAATCCGCAGAGGGTTTCCTGACACTCCTCTGCTCCCCTCGCCGCCCCGCAGGCTCCTGTGTGCACTGATGAGTGGACATCCCAGGAAAGCCAGAGGGAGAGAGTGTCCACTACGGTCTAGTCAATCCCCAAACACGGTGACCCTATGGGGGGGAGGGGCGGAAACTCTTTATAGGATCAGAAGGCCTCCTCCCTCTTTCTTCCTCAGAGTGGTTGGCGAGCAATGTGCAACCCAGGACACCACCAGGCCCCAATGCCCCCGGAGAGGCAGAGCCACCGCTCTGGCAGCCTCCCCGCTCCCCGAGGCTTCCACAAGCTCTCCCTCAAATCTAACGTCCATCCATGCTGGGGGCTTTGGTTTCTCCTGTCCTTCTCCTCCTTCAGAGCCTTTGGCATTATCTGCCACCTGGGAAGAGTTTAGTTGCCATTGGTCGATTTCCACCCCTGTGTCAGGTTCTAGCTATTGTCTGTTGTCCGCCTTTTATTGATCTCTGGCCTCTCAGCAATCGGGCCCAGATACTGGCCAGTGGGTTGTGAGTTGACTCAATGAAAGACTAGCTGACTGCGGGTCTTGAATTTAAGAGTGACCACTGGATGGGAACTCACCCGAGAGCAGTGACGAGTGACAGCCAACACCTCATCATCGGTCAGCAGCCGCCGGGCCAGGTCCTGAATTAGGGGCCTTCGGCTCTCCCAGGCCTGCACCTGCTCATCCACGTTGGGGAGCTGGCTGGAGGGGCTCCCAGACCTGGCAGAGAGCAGGGCCCGGCCCCTCTCGCGGTCTACGGAGCCACAACAAAAGGGATGGTCCAGAAAGCAGGACCCACGAGGGAGGAGCTTTCCAGTGCCCGGAACAGACCAGCGAGGGGCCCCATGACAGCCTGGTTCAGGTGCTTCCCGTCAGCATCTCCCACCAGTAGTCACAAATCCCAATTTCTCTGCTCCCCAATAGATCGCCATACCAGTATGTCCTTCAAAGGGCCTTGGCACAGTGCCCTTAGCCCCCAAACCAGTCTGTCCTCCACTGGAGTCCAAGCAGAGGCTCCTCACCTGTCCCCAAATCTTTCTTTTGGGCATTCCAATCCAAGCCCCTTAGTCCCTGACAATGTTCCCCCATACAACCCGATCTTTCTGTTTCAAGCCTATATTTCCAGTAAATTGAAGATCCTTTTGGCAGCTGGTCCCAATACATGCTCATCTGCCGAACCCCCTTGTTGGTCACCAACTGAGTTTAGTCTCAAACCCCAGAGTTACCCCACCCTGCCCCCCAACTCCCAAGCCCCCACCCTCACACAGCACACACTCCCATCTGTAGCTCAACTGTAAACAAGGCCCTGGAGAAAGAATGCGTGACTTACCCCGTCTAAGTCTCCAAGTGACAAACTTCTGCACAGGGCCCACTCCCCCTGCTAGGGAAAAAACAGAAGCTCAGCCGCAGGCCCTGGCTCTCCTCTGAGAGTGGCATTTGGGAGAGCTCAGGCCTGGCTGCACAGGGAGGCCACAGGCCAGGCCACGAGGGTCTTCTTCAGACGGCAGACCTCAGTCGTTGGCAATGGTTTGGTTCCAGAGCGAAGGGTTTGGTTCCAGAGAGAGGGTGGTTTGGGCTTCATTTGGAAGCAAATGCCGGAGGGAGGGAAGACCCCCTAGGGAGCAGAACTTGGAGGTGGACCTACCTTCAGGAGACAGAGGGAGAGAGGGGGGCCTTGGAAGAAGAGAGAGGAATGGCCAGAAAGGTAGGGGGAGAATCCAGCCAAGGCAGGGCCCTGGGAGCTGTGGGAAGAGAGAGGTGTTGAGGGGCGGTAGGCTGCCCTCCTTTGAAGAGCTTGTCTGTCCCATGAGACGGTCACCTTGAGACCCCAGGACATTTAATGCCCAGGAAAAAGAGCATCAGCTCCTGGTTCTCTGTTTATTTCCATCTGCCCAACACCCACACCCCCCTTTGGAAAGTCTAGAAAGAAAACTACAGCCATCAAGTGGATTTAGACCCATAAGGACCTGGGGGTCAAAGTAGACACCGCCTTTGGGTTTCTGAGGTTGTCATGCTTTATAGGCCCAGAAAACCCCATCTTTCTCCCTCAGAGAGGCTGGTGGATTCGAACTGCTAACCTTACATTCACAGCCCAACTCATAACCCATTATGCCAATACAGAAAAACTCACTGCCATTGAGTTGATTGTGGCTCATAGTGACCCTATAGGACAGGGCGGAACTGTTAACTCTTTGCAGGAGTAAAAATCTTGTCTTTTTTCTCCAAGTGGTTGGTGGTTTCAAACTGCTAACCTTGCGGTTAGAATCCCACTGGGTAACCACTATGCCAGCAGGGCTTCTATCATGACTCCCATAGTACCCTGGTTTTCAGCTGTCGTCACATCCCACTCCCTTTCTCAGAACTGCTGGCTGCCAACGTCAGCTATGCCCTCCCTCTCTGATCCCACCTGCATTTACCTTTGTCCATGTCCAGGCGAGGACGTGGCTTGGCCAAGCTCCCCCTGTCCAGGGTCCAAGCTTCTCTGCGCCTGTCCCCTGCTGGCCGCCCCTGCCGCCCTCCCTTGAAGAAGAGGTTCATCAGCGTCTTGGATCTCTGCAATGCACCCTTCTCCCTAGGGGACCCCGACTTCTCCTTCTTCCGCTGCTTCTTCTCCTCTGCAGACACGAGGGAGCACCCGGGGGGCTGGAGGGGTGGGCAGAAAGGAAGGAGGGGGCAGCAGGCAGGGGTGCGGGAAAGGGCAGCGAGAAGGGGGAGTCGGGGAGGCAGACAGGATCTGCAGCCCTAGGCAGGGGGTGGTCCTCCAATCTCCCACGCCCTCCCACTCCTCACTCCCTGCCATGGAGTGGATACTGATTCATAGCAGCTCTAAGGGGCGGGGGAGGGTTTCAGAAACGGACTCTGCAGGAGTAGACAGTCTCCTCGTCTTTCTCAGTTAGGGGCTGGTGTGGTTAGCCGCTCAAAAGTAACCACTACGTCACCAAGGCTCCTGACCCTCCTACTACCTGTGGGGTATTTCCATTGAAACCCGTGTGTGTGTGTGTGTGTGTGTGTGTGTGTGTGTGTGTGTGTGTGTGTGTAGACAATGCAGGGTGCAGCCGGTGGTGGAGAGGCTGAATTAGGACTGGTTTGGGACCCAGGCTGGTTAGGCACCCAAGAACTCGGGCTGGGACTGAGGGTGGGTTTGGGTCCAACCCCGATTGAAAAAGGAGCCCAGAGTAGCTGAAGGTATTCTAGGGTTGGGGTGGAGCGAGGGTTGGGCCAGGGACTGGAGCACCCAGCAGCCCTCTGTCACCCACGTACCCCACAAGGTCAGGTGACTCTGGGAGCGAGTGATGGGGGGCCGGGGTCGGCTGAGTGCCAGCAGCAGGGCAGTCTTGGGGGACTCGGAGAGCGCAGAGTCAAGGCGGCGGGCTGAGGCTGGACCGTCCGAGCGGATAGCCGTGTCCCTGAGAATGACCGTGGGCCTTACGCTGCACCAGGTCTCCACACGGCCCCCCACATCGGGCTCTGTCTGCATGGCTGTGTCCGCCCGGCCCCAGCCAGGCCCCCGACTTCCCGGCGGCTCCTCGGGCCCCAGGCAGACGTCCAGGCGGTCAGAGGACAGGGAGCCCGACCCCTCGGCCGAGCTGAAGGGGACGCTGGAGGCGTAGGAGGAGACGCTGGAGCTGCTCTCCGAGGCCTGCGACAGCTGCTGCAGCGTCCCATTGCTCACTGCAGAGAGGGGAGGTAGCTGGCTCAAGGGTCTCCCTGAGAATGCAGGCCTTGCAAACCCCCTGGGCTTGGCTGGCATGGGAGCAGGTGGGACCGGGTCTGGAGGACCCACTGCTCAGCCATCTGCCATTGACTGGCTGAGCGGCAAGGTCAAAATGATCGGAGATCCCACTGGCCTGGACCCATCCCTGTCCTGCAAACTTGGACCCTTGGGCCACTTACGTCGGTCCAGCCAACAGTATTCCGAAACCATCTCCTTGTAGGCAGGGTAGCGGCCAGTCTCCTGGGGAGGACACAAAGGCAGAGGAGGGCAGGGGTAGCAAGCGAGAGACAGGAATAAGCCTTCCAGCCGCCTCTGTCCCCCAAGCTCACCATGCCCTGTGGCTCCCGCAAGCCCTAGGGGGCTCTCCCAGTACAGACATGTGACTCAGAAGTAAAACTGAAAAAAACATTTAAAGACTATTTTTCAGATAATGGCGATTTCGTTTGTTGGTAAAACTATATGTAGGGCTCTCGGAGAAATTTTAAATTAGTGAGAGGGGCAGGATGGAGGGGCTCTTCCATCTCCAAAGTTTGCTGACCGCCTGGTCTAGTCACATGACTCGCTGTACTGGTGAACGTGCGGGGTTCCTTCATGTCTAGGCGCCTGGGCACACACTCCTGTTCCTGGAGTCTCTGCCTTTCTCTGTTTTATGGCTAGCTCCTTCTTCCCCTTCTGCTCTCATATCCTCTGCGACTTACCCTGGTCCCTTGCCCCACTGCCCCCCTTTGGCTAAAGGGGTCTTTCCTCAATTTCTCTACGACATCTCTTTGCTAATGGCCTTATGCTTGGAGCCTTAGCATCATCTGCAAGGGTCTTACTGTCTCCTTCGGTAGCAGAGGCCTTGGCTGGCCTCTTTACTCTTGCGGCCCTAGTGCCTGGTGCCTAGTGCCTCGATCGTGTTGTGGGTTATGTGTTGGGCTGCTAGCCACAAGGTCAGAAGTTCAAAACCACCAGATTCCTCTGAGGGAGAAAAATGAGGCTGTCTGTTCTCCTAAAGAGGTAGCATTCTCAGGAACTCACAGGGGCAGTTCCACTCTGTCCTAAAGGGTCGCTATGAGTCAAAATCAACTTGATGGCAGTGAGTTTACCATGCCCAGTCTAGTGGCTGACTCATAGTAAGTACTCACAACTATTGTTGAGTGAATGAGTTGGGGCAGTGGGGGGCAGGAGTGAAGAGGGGTGTTTGGGATACTTTGAAGGGGAAGAGAGTGGAGAAACAAGATGTGGGGGAGGTAGGATACCGAGGTGGGGTGGGGTGAAGACTGCAGAGGAGGTCCTGGATGGTGATGGAGGAAGAAGGACGGGGGCACAGGGGCCAGGACTGGGCACTGGATGCGCGGGAGGTGTCACCACCTCCAGGAGCCAAAGCGACAAGGACCTGATCCCCAAGCAAGTGTGAGATCTGCATGAATAATGAATCCAGCTGCCGCCCCTGAAATCCAATCTGCAGCGCCAGCGCAGCCCTCCTTTGGAACCTCGAGGATGCCCACCGCCAGAGTCCTGCCCATAGCCACAGCTCCCCCATTCTTCTCCATTCCACCCCAGGCCCCCCTCTCATCGGAAGGAGCACACTACCCTAGGAACCTGGGCAGCAGGACCGGGACTAGACCCTACCCACTGGGCAGCTGAATAACGGATGTTGGTCCCTGAGTGGCTTGACGTCTCTGAGCCTCAGTTTCTTCTGCAAAAATAAGAATGATCACAATGCCCACCCTCCCTCCCCTGGCTGCGAACAGGTCCTTGCAGACGAATGGGCATCATTCAATAGTGCAGGCCACCCCCACCGGTGGACCTCTCTCTGACCCCCACACCCCTGCCCACCTTGATGGTCAGCATGATGTGCGTCTGGCCCTTCAGCACCTCCACGGCCTGGCTGTGGCTGATGTCATCAAATCTGACGCCGTTGGCCGCCAGGACCTGGTCCCCTACCTTGATGCCGTTCTCTTCGGCCAGGCCACCATGGTCCACTCTGGGGGGAGACGGGCATCAACTGGTCGGCCATCTCTTGCCTTTCCTTCTCCTCTTGCAGACTCCTGTCTCTTGGACACAAGCTTGCCCCAGTTGGATACCTTGATCCTCTTCCTGGTGACTTCTGCCCCCTCCCCAGCCCCACCATTGACCTAGATCTTCATTTGGCCCGGGGTTCCCTGGCTGACACATCCCCAGGCCCCACTCCAGGCCCATTGCTAGCCCTCCCCCCTCCTCTGCTCCCCATTTCACTCCCTCCCCCAGCTCTCACTTGGACACATAGATGCCCAGGCCAAACTCCTTGCCCCCTCGGATGTTGAAGCCCAGGCAGAAGTCATCGGAGGTCGTGTATAGGTGGACGATGCGCCGCGCGCCGTCCTCAGAGCTGCTGTGGGATGGGCTGGAGCTGCACTTCTCCACGACCAGCCGCCGGTTTACCACATCCACCCTGGGCCAACCAGGGCTCACTCAGCCAAGGCTCCCGCCCACCCATCAGGGCCCCCTCTCCTCCCAGCAGGCATGCGTGGGAAGAGTAGGGGGAGAGGGGAGCTATCTCTGGGAGTCTCCCTGGGCCCCGGGGACTTCTGGGGGCACCTTTTTTTAATTGAGCAGCAACACTGGGCCAGGCCCATGACTCCCCCTTCCCACCTCACCTCTATTATCCCAAGACTCAGAACCACGGGTAGCTGGGGCAGCAGAGCTGGGGCAAGAGGGCGGTGGGGCTCAACCCGAGTTCAAGGTCAGGTCTGAGAATGTCAGTGTTTCCAGAACCCCGCTAGGCAGGCCCTCTGTCAGTGAACTCCTGGGGGGAGGAGGTGGTGGGGTGCAGGTGGGGCAGAGTCTGGGTCAGGGCTGGGCGCTGCTTACCACGTGGTCTTCTCCTTGGAGAACTTAATGCCGGGCACCCGGCCCATGCGGCGGACCACCATGTGCAGGCGGCTGCTGCCCGTCAGCATCTTCACGGCACTGCCCATGGTGGTGCTCTCCAGGCTCAGCCCGTTCACCTCCGTGATCTTGTCTCCCACACACAGGCCAGCCCGCTCTGCACACAGGGAGGAGGGCGGCCGGCAGGGGACACTTGGGAGAAGAGTGTCCCATCCAGGGTGGAGCTGAGCCTCCCCCTCAGATTGAGGACCCCCAAGGGAAGATGGAGCCAGGGCTTCCATCAGATCAGGGGTCCCCAAAGGAGGAGTCTCCACTTACCCTGAGCTAGGAGCCTATCCTTTCTCCCCTCCCCTCCCCTGATGGTGAATTCTGTCTCTCCACAGGATCAGGCCCCCAGACCTGAGGCCGCGTTCCTCTACCATCACTGACAGCAATGACCCTCACCCTGCCGTGCCGAGATGGGGGTGGGGGTGGTGGTGTCACACCCCATAGGCCAGGGTCTCCTTCACGGGGGTCTCCACTCACCTGCACTGCTCCCCTCCTCCACTTTGCTGACGAAGATGCCCAGGCCATGCTCAGAGCCGCCCCGCACACTGAATCCCAGCCTCCCTGCAGGGTTCTTCTCCACCCGGACTGCATGGATGATGTCGCTCTCATCACTGTTGGCTGTGGGGGTGGGGCCACAGATGGGACCCCTATACTCATGCTGGCCAGAGGAGGCCCCGAATCAGGCTTTCTAAATGCTGGGCACAGCCTAACAGGTAAGGTCCCTAGGGCCCTAAGGGGGAGGGAGGTGGCCAATTTCTGAGTTCCCCCCAGATGTTTTGGAGACTATGGACCAGGGAAGGTACAGGAATCAGCGGAAATAGGACAGGACTCCGTGCTGGAAAAGATGCTCTCCTCTTGTCATAATGGGCAGGGGGCAGTGTGGAGCCCAGGGCTAACTGAGCTTCTGTGCCCCCAAATTCCTAAAAGTCCTGGCCCTCAAAAGGTCAGCTGGATGGGGTTGGGGGCGTGTTATTCCATCATATAGGAGCCCTCGTGGCATTCTGGTTTCGGTTGGACCCACCAGCGGCGCTGTAGGAGGACCACAGGGCTTCCTACTCCCATAAAGAGGCCAGTCCCAGAGACTCCCGGGGGCAGTTCGAGCCTGTCCTTTAGGGTCCCTATGCGTCACCCTGGACTCATGGCAGGGAGTAGCGAGTGACTCCATCCTGTGGGACAGGGTGGACAGAGCCAAGGCTTCTCAGCCTGCAGAATTACCTATTTCCAGGCAAATAACTTTAGCGATGCTTCTTGTTTCTCCCTCAAACTTGGCACCCCTCTCGTGTGCCGGCCCGAAGCTCGCCAGGCATAGAAAATGCACACCTTTTGCAGGTATGCTCAAGGAGGACATGGCGTGTCTCCTCTCTCTTCAAGAGCTCTCTCTCTCTCCCTGAAGAGCTATCTTGTGGAAGCCCGCGGTGGTCGTACCCAGGTGGCCCAGATGACAGACCCAAGCTTATCTTGTCATGGAGTCCACAGCTGGCCCCACCTAACCCCACTGTGGGGGCTTGTTCCTGTCCTCTGGCTACTCTGGGAAGGCTTCGTGGAGAAGGCACACAGGTGGAGGGCTTGGGAAGGGCCCTGAGGTGGGCTGGAGCAAGCAGAGCCTCTGGGCTGCGCCAGGTGAGCAGCTGAGATTTCAGCGGTAGGCAAGGCTTCCACTTAGGGTGTTTGAGAGGGGGAAAAAAAATCACTTGGGCACCTCCCTACCCCGACACACACACATACCTCTAGTTGATCTAAGAGAAATCAAGTTACAGGGCATGACCAGGGCAGCTCAGGAAAAAAATTCCCAAGGACAGCCTGTGGGCAGGGATGGTGCAGCATTACACTCGGGAGATCCCGGGCCTTCCCCGTGGGCTGGAGCTGCACAAGCCTCGGGACCTTTGCGGCCCTTTCTGCCCTTCTCATTCCTCTCTCCCTTTCTCCTCGGTCCCTCGGGGGTGGGGGTGGGTCCTGGACTAGGGGGATGGCAAATCCAAGCTTGGGCTTCCAAGGCTGGCACCTGTTCAGCTTTCACTGCCCCGGGTTATGCTATGGGTCTCTCCGGGTACTCTAGGGGAACATCGTAGCCACTGTCCCCGTCCTTATTCTGGAGTCCGCTTTTAAAACGAGATCCTGCCTTTCCCCTAATGAAAACCTCCCAAACCTATCCCCGTGCTTCTGGAATCAGACTCCTCAAAGGACGTGGGTTTTCCTTTGCCCATCTCGCTGCCTTCACCACTAGCCACTGTCTTCCTTCCACCATGAGATTTGGCCACCAACCTCCTTTCCATTCCGTGTACAGGGCAGGTCCCAGCCCTCTGCCTGGCCCACTCTAGCCCAGACTGAGATATAACAAAGCCAGTTTCTTTTCTTCATTCTGTTCCTACCACTTTCTCCAAGAAGTATGCTTGGATGACCCTACCTATAGAAAGCCCACCCCCTCCTCCCAGTTCATCTCTGTTGGGGGGGCTCTTAAAGGGTGGTCCCCAGACCGGCAGCACCCTTCCATTGCCTAGGATGTTGAATATGTGAATTCTTGGCTTACCCCACAGCCGCACTGTGTCAGACATTCTGGAGGTGAGGCCTTGTCACCTGTGTCTTAGCAAACCCTCCTGAAGTGCTCGTGCATTTGAAGTCTGAGAACCACAGCGCTAACCAGCTCCTCAATCAAGGTCTTGCTTTCAGGGATTCTTACTAACCTTTCTCATTCCTGATTTATTTGTATAGGACTTACTATCTGTCTCCTCTTATGAGACTGTGAATTCAACCACAGTAGGGATTTTGTCATTCTCTTCCACCAAGGCATCCCCCATGTTTGATACAGGGCTTGGCAAGTGATTAAGTGTTTTTAAATGAATGAATGAATGAATGAATGAATGAATGGAGGAACTAGGAGAGGTGGGGAGTGTGCTGCTTTGGATTAAAGAGAGTACACTTTCTCTGGGACAGGATGAGTTTGAGGAGCCAGTTGGAACTCAAGGAGTGATGGGAGCCCGCAGCGTTTCGCTCTCTGCTGTGCCTCCATGATCAGGGACTATTTCCCTGGACTGGTCCTCACTAACAACGTGACTGCAGCTAAGGGAGATGCGTGTGCTCAGGAGCAGGAGTGAGCGTTCTGAGCTCAGAGGCTCCCAGCCCAGGCATCTGGGGCCAGATGGGTAGAACAACAGGAGGACATGGTCAGTCCTGCAGGAAGGACGAGGGTGAGGGAGAGGGAAAAGCAATCAAAGCAATCTTGGAACCTTCTAGAAGAGAGTATCTTTAAAGGGACAGCATAAATAATCCTAGCATCAGATCTGGGCAGGGTGTGGATGTGGGGCAGGAGTGAGGGTCAAGCTAAGGACTAGGGTGGTGTTGGGGTGGGGGGGCTCTTTGAATAAAATGCAACTAGTGCCTCTGCTGCCATGTTTCTGAACTCTTCCAGGGACTTCTGAGGCCTGATGAGAAGGACGGTGGGGACCCTCAGCAGTGCCTGGCTGCTGACCTGAGGGTCACAGAGTGGGGAGGACTGGTTGAGCATGCTGGACAGCATAGTCCATTCCTGCCCCAGCAGGGGCCTTGATAGGCAGGCCCCGAGGGGAGGACAACAGGCTGCACTGCCATCTAGTCCATTTTCACCCCTAGTGATGCTAGAGGGCAGGGCAGAAGCGCCCCTGTGGGTTTCCGAGACTGTAACTCTTTATGGGAGTAGAAAACCTCACTTTTCTCCTGCAAGCAGCTTGTGGTTTCGAACTGCTGACCTTGTGGTTAGCAGCCCTTTTTGTAACCCACTATGCCGCCACGAGGGCTAGAGAGGAGGAACAGGGTCTGAAAAGTTCTGCCTAGGTGCCAGCTGGGGGTCCTGCTGGATGAGAGAGAGCAGAGAGGCTGGAGATGTTGACCTTGTCCTGCCCATGAAGGCCCAGGCTCAGGGGGCCCCTGGCTCCTCCGTGGACATTCAAGCTCCTGCTCTGCTCACCACATCACATATGCCATGCAGTCAGGCTAGGTCCCCGAAGTGCCACACCTGTGCTCATTTCCAGCTGTTGCACAAGATAGCTCCACCACCCCACCTCCACCCCTGGTGCCAACCTACTGTCTTCGCTCTGTCTTGAAGCTCCACTAACCTGCACACTTCTAAAAGATGAAGACAGAGCAGGTTTCTGTCAGGGTCCCCTGCAGGGCCCAACCAGTGCGCATAGGGAACTGGTGTGTAAGGAAGCACCACTAAGCAACCACAGAAGTGTAGGCCTTCTCCCTCTCGAGGTTTAGTTCAGGCCCCCACACCCACCCTGCCTCAGTCCTCCTGGCCTCTCCCCTCTTCTGAATGCTGGCAGCTCTACTCTCATCCAGCACCCCCAGGAAGCCTTTAATACTGGCGGCTCAGCTGGGGCCTGACTCTGCACAGCCAAGCACAGGGCTAGCTGGTCACCCAATGGGAAGTCCTTCCCTAACTCTCCCTGCCCCCAGCCCCAGCCATAACCAGAGGCGTAAACAAGGAAAGGTAGGCTCAAAGGGAGGGAGGGCCAATTACACACTGAGAGATGGCACAGGGTGCTGCCCGCACCCTGAGGAGGGAGAGAGACACTCACTCCACTCACTCACTCATTCACTTTCTCTGCCAACTGGTCCCCTCTCCCACCTCTGGCCCCTCTATAATCCTGGATGAGAGACTGAGCAGGTGAGGGCTCCCATGATCCTAAGACACGTATCTCCCAGGTTCCCCCACTCATATTGCCTCTGCCCCTCCCTCTGAAGCCCCGTTGTCCCCGGTCCCCGCCTGCCTTCGCAGCCCCCCGCCCCCACCTTCGATGGGGGAGTTGATGAGGATGACACGGCCCATGGGCGAGGAGGCTCGGATTCCGCGGGGGGGCCCATTCAGCAGCCGCTGCTGCTTCCTCAGCAGGTATCGCGTTGCGGAGCCCGAGTCGCTGCCCAGGTGGCCCCGGGAGGAGATGGAGCTCAGGGAGCCGGAGCTGAGGTCGCCTAGGCCCAGGGGGTCGAAGCCCACTGTGAAACCGTGCGCCATGGCGGCAGGGGCTCTACACGTTCAGAGGAAGGCTACCAGCCCCCCAGAGGCGGGCTCTGAGCCCAGGGGGCTCCATGGGCCTTTTGTGCAGGGCTGGGGTCTCCGGGAGGCCGGCCGTGGTCCTCAGCGGCAACTGATCGGGAGTGTGCGCTCCAGGCCTAGGGATGTGGGATTGGGACTGGATGTGGGTGCTGCCCATGGCCGAGCATCCTGCCCTCCTATTCCTTAGACCCACCCCCACAGGCCCTGGTACTGGCCAGAGAACTGCCCGCTCCTGGCACTGTGGTCTTCGGCTCGCCCACCAGAGCTGGGGGGGGGGGGACATCTTGTTCACCCCTCTCTCTGCCCTCATCTGAGTCATGTACTCCCTCCCCGCTCATCCGCAGAGGCTGAGAGGGTGGCCCTGGGACTGAGGTGGTCCTGGGAACTTGACGCAGTGGGAGAAAAAGGGGTGTCGAAGGCCACTCCCTATACCCCCACTCGGGTGCATGAGACAGAGGGCCAGTCCCCCTACCCCCAAACCCCGGGCTCGGACTGCAGAGTAGGCCTTCAGAACCAGGGACAGCTGCAGCAGAGGGCCGTAGGGATCCCTAGCCCTCAGACGGGGGAACCCCATTCTAGGAGGTTGCCTGGGCCTCTCGCAGGCCTAGAGGGGGCGGTGGGCGCGCGCAAGGAGGAGCTGCTGGCTAGAACCACAGCAAACCAAGGCCCCAGAGCCCAGCTCGGTCTTCCAGAACCCCCACCTCTCGGGCCGGGGCCCCATTACCTGCTCCCGGGTCCCGCAGCCGCCGGCCTCACCCGCCCGCCCGCCCGCCGGCCCGGGGGCGTGAGCGACTGCAGCAGCCGGGGAGGACCCCGCCTCCTCTCCGCCAAGGCTGCGGGAAGGGGGCTGGCCTGGGCAGCCGAGGGCTCCCATTGGCTAGTGGGGCCACCAGTCACTCTCTCCTGGTACCTCCCTTGGGAGCCCAGGGCTGTCGCTGGTCACCCTCCTGGCTGCAGCCGCCGACGCCCTGCCCCGGCGCGTTCGAGGCAGGAGTTGAGGTTCTTCTCCCGCGTACTTGGTGCTTAGGGCAGGCGGGCGTCTTCTCCAGACCAAGCGAGCTCCCTGGGCTCCTGGAAGTGTCACCCTCAGTAGGGGAATGTCACCGGGGCAGAGCGGGACTTGAACCTGCGGCGGGCGGGAGTGGGGCGGGGCGTCTGGTTTGGGTGGTAGCGCTTTGTATGGTGGTTAGCAAGTGTGTGTGTGTGTGTGTGTGTGTGTCCGCCTCCTGTGACACAAGGTGTCTCCCTGGCCACTCTGTTCTGAAAGGACTGCAAGGCAGGCCAGTTGGTACCAGGACACGGGAAGCGGGAGCATCCTGATCCACTTGTCTGGATGCAGCTCCCTTCAACTTCTGTCCCGCCGCCCCGCCCCAGGGCGGAGACAGGACCGAGCTCTGTGGTCCAGGCCTCCGTGCTGGGGTCACTAGCAGGCTGGGGACACGGTGGACGAGCAGAGAGGGCCTGTGGCTGGTGACAAGAGGTGGAGATGCCGAGGTGCGGCGGCGGCAGGACTGCGTGCATCCCGGGGTGCCAGGGGACCAGGGGACCAGGGGACCAGGGGACCAGATCGGCGGAAGCCACTGCCAAGTAAACAAAGCGGGTGGTAAGCCGAGCCCTCGGGACCCGCCCTCCACGCCGCCCACCTGTGCCCTGCGCGAGTTCTCTCAGGGCGCCCTGACCCCGCGCCGCAGCTGCTGGGTGCCTCCAGAGGCCCTCCTGGGAGCTGCAGCCTGCGGGCTCAGCGCCGCCGCCGCCGCCTCTTTCTGCCTGAGAGACCCCGCCAGGACCGGACCGCTCCCCGCGCTCCGATTGGCTCTGGAAGGTGGAGGAGCAGGGCCGGGACCCGGGGCCCAGGCCGCGGGCGTATCCCCAAATAACACCCGCCGCCCCTAGGCTCTGCCAATCCCGGGGCCCAGCACACAGACGCAGCGGGTGAGTCCACCCCCCTCTCTGGTCAACGTCACGCGTCACGTCCCCTCTGGTGGCTGGGAGGGCCGGGACGACTCAGAGAGGAAGGCCGGTTGAAGAGCTGCAGCGACCCAGGAGCCCAGGAAAGCGTGAGTCCAGGGTTGGGGGCTGGAGGTCTGGCCTGAGGCCATCTCTTTGTTCTGTGGATCCAGCAAGTTGGGCTCTGGAGAGAGGCCCCAGGGCTGTAGAGAGGTGGGCTATGGACAGGAATGCCAGGGTGGGGCTAGCTAGGGCACCAGCTAGTTGATGAGTGTGGGCTGTGTGTTCGTGTGTCTGCACTTGTGTGTGTAAGTAAAGGTCTTTGTGGGCCGATTTGTGCAAGGAGTGTCCGCCTGGTTCGTCTGTGTGTCCATCGTGCAGGATGGTGTTTGTGTGAGGCTATGCGAGTATGTAAGAGGGTCAGCCCAGGGCGTGCCTGTCTGTGCAGCAGGAAGTGTGACTGGAGGGGATTAGTCATTCTGTAGGATTTTGCTTCTCAGCGCCAGATGGCTGCTTCAGCCCTTACTGTGTTGTGTGTAGAGGGTACCTACTGAGTCCTCTTCCTTTCTGGATGGGATGCCTTCAGGGAGAGGTGGTGGGTGCCTGCTAACCATGCCCTGCTATGGGACAGAGCAGAGTTTAGGACTTTAGGTGCAGGTTTAGGAAAGATGGGTCTGGGGAAGGAACATGTGGGTGCGAGCACCCACAAAGCTGGCATAAGTCCCTTGGTTGGGGTTTGGAGCAGATCAGCCCTGGGGTGACCAATGAGCCGGAGTTCTCCTCCAATCATGAAGGAGTGTGTGGGATGGCTTTGTATCTAGGTTGCAGGGCAGCTGGGCCCTACAGCTGTTAGTGATCATGGGTGTGAACTGCATATAATTCACATGTTTGTGCATCCAGAGCTCACGAGCCAAGAGATGCTGGGGAGCCAGTTACCGCTTGGGCATCAGTCACCTTTATGAGACACCACACCAGGCCAGAGGACAGGAAATCTGGTGTCCTAATTCTGTTCTCCTTCCCCTCCTCCAGTAGCTGCAGGTGACTCCAGTGACTCCCAGGGCCAGGGCATTGCAAAGGAAACAACTCCTCCCCCTATCCTTGCTTACCTACCTGGAGCGACCTTGAGCTATAGAAGGGACTCACCTTCGGCTTGGGGAGCAGAGCAGGGCCTCCCAAGTCTCCCCCAGGAGGAACCCTTGAGCGCCCTCCTGGCATCCCTCTGACCCTTGGACCTGACCTGCAGAAAATGGGGGAGTTATCCTTAAATATCAACATCCAAGAACCTCGCTGGGACCAAAGCACGTTCATGGGCAGAGCCCGGCACTTCTTCACCGTCACCGACCCCCGGAATCTGCTGCTCTCTGGAGCCCAGCTGGAAGCTTCCCGAAACATTGTACAGAACTACAGGTGACACCCACCCACCCCACCCCCACTACCAGCCCTATGCCTCTGGCGTTCTTCTCTGTCAGGATCACAGACCGCTCCCATCTGCTTCGCCCAACTGGGAAGTGTCCACTCCGGAACCATCCCCCCACTCCCAATCTACTCCTTCCTGTTCATCTCCTAGCATCACCGATAACTGTGGCCAAAGCTCTAGCCCAAAGGGCTATAGGGAGCTTTCATTGAAGAAAGGGCATTTGGAATGTATGGGTGGAGCCTGCTCTGTGCTGCCCAAACCCTCAGAAAAGAGGGCCTAAGCCACTGCTGGGCCACCCTCTGCAGATGAGATGAGGCTCCAAGTTCAATGACAGGAGGAAGTGGAAATCCTTGCCTTCACCCTTTTGACCCATTGGTAACCACCCTTGGCCAGGACCCAGGCTTTGGACAGAAATAGAGAAGCACTTCTCTGTGTGTGGCTGGAGGGGACATAGAAAATCCCTGAGCTTTGACCCACCCCAAGAGGCAGGGAGCTCCTTTATTCTGAGATTTAGGGGCAAAATTCTGAGCTCATTCTTCAGATGCTTCCTAAACTAGGCAGCTGGGCCCAAAGGAAGTTTGGGTCTCAGGATCACCCATCTTTTCCCTGCTGTCCTCTGCAGGGCCGGTGTGGTGGCTCCAGGGCTCACCGAAGACCAGCTGTGGAGAGCTAAATATGTATACGACTCCGCCTTCCACCCAGACACAGGGGAGAAGCTGGTCTTGATTGGCAGGATGTCGGCCCAGGTGCCCATGAACATGACCATTACTGGCTGCATGCTCACCTTCTACAGGCAGGTCCTGGCCCAGGCATCTCCTTCCTGCGTGGTCCATCGGAACTAGAGGAGGTGCTTCCTCTCTGGTCCGGTTTGGAAAGATCGTGGGTGGTGAGAGTCCTAGAGACTCCAGTCCTCAGATGTTGACCCGGGGTGTCCTTTCACCCCAAAGAGAGGGGAGGTGTTTGTGGAAGTATGCTGGGGAGAGTCAGCAGACGCCCTCAGCAGGTTCTAAGGTAAGGTGACCAGATTTAAAGCGGGACACCATTGACCCGGGGCTAGGGTGGAGGGGTTCTTGATTAAAAAATTTGGTCTCTATGGACCAAATAGACTCTTCCCGAGCTTGTCATGCATTCTTTCCTGTTGCGTCCCGGCCTGCGGGACGCAGGAGCAAGGCCCTGCAGGGAAAGACGAACCTGGATGGAGAAAAGACACGGAGACGTGGAGCAAGACAAAACTCTGATCAAACTCATTTATTTGGGCAAAGCTGGGGTATAAAAAAGGGGAACTGGGAGGGTGCATATTTTAATAAGGTGTGCGACACAGCATCCAATCCAACAGGTACATTAATGAAGCATAAGAACGTTAACCAATCAGCTGTAGGTAAAAGGGCGCGCGCTAGTTCTCAAAGACGTCCTGCATGCAGATTAAAGTCCATCAGGTGTAAAGCAAAGTCCATCTTAGTCCAATGAGCGCCTGGCATTATTAACCAATGGGTGAAAAGGTCAACTTTACAACTGCCCGTGCTACAGAGCATGTAGCTAGGAACATGGAGGCAGGAATTTAGGCAGGGCCCCACAGGTTTTGCAAATGAAAGACTAGGAAGCAGCCAAGTTCGGCTCAGGCTGAGGCTAAGGCCTTAATGGCCACCGGCTCCCAACACTTTCCAAAAATTGGGACTGTCCCGCCAAAAGCGGGACATCTGGTCACCTTATTCTAAGGACATCCTCTGAGACCCTCCTACAGGTAGAGGAATAGCCTATGGGTTTGATCATAGGGGTCCAAGGGTGGTGAGGGACACTGTAGAGAGATCGAAGTACATGTCTTCATTTCTTCAGAAAGACCCCGACTGTGGTGTTCTGGCAGTGGGTGAATCAGTCCTTCAATGCCATCGTCAACTACTCCAACCGTAGCGGTGACGCTCCCATCACAGTTGGGTGAGAGACAGTCCCCGCCCAGGCATCCACTCCTCTGCTTTTCACCGATCTTCCCTGTAGCACCTTGAGGGTGTGACTCACCACCTGCCTCTCCCATCTTTCTCCCCCATCCTGCTTCCTCTGCCCGACAGAGGCCATGAGACCCTCCTCTGTATGACTTGGGGGTTGACCCATCTTCAAGGGCAGGGAGTAGAACTGTGGGACAAGCCTATACTGAAGGTGAGGCAGGGCCTTTCTCTGCAGTGCGCCCCCTCCCCTCTCTCTCATGCGCACAGTTCTTGGCTGGTCCTTGAAGGAAAATAATCACCTCTGGGCTCTTCACCTCCCCTTGTGACCTGGCACTTCCACCCACAGGCAGCTGGGAACAGCTTATGTGAGTGCCACGACTGGGGCTGTGGCCACAGCTCTGGGCCTCAAATCCCTCACCAAGGTAAAGCCCCTCCCACCCCTATGCTATGGTCCCTTTCCTCTCCTTCTTCCTTTACCACCCCCTTCCCTGTGACCCATCCATCGCTGACCCACAGGCTCTCCTCCATATAGCCCCCAAGCCCCTGACTCATGCTTTTTCTCCCCTAGCACCTGCCGCCCCTGGTGGGCAGATTTGTACCTTTTGCAGCCGTGGCTGCTGCCAACTGCATCAACATCCCCCTGATGAGGCAGAGGTGAGTGTGTGGGCACACTGTTCACCCCACCATGGCAGATCAGCCAAGAGTGGGGATGCTCCGGCCCCTCCCTGCCTTGTTCTCACCACTCAGTCTGATTGAGGGCCCCAGGGGTGGGCGCATCAGTCTTTGCATCCTGAATAGTGGTTCTCAACCTGTGGGTTGTGACCCGTTTGGAGGTAGAACGACCCTTTCACAGGGGTTGCCCAATTCATAACGGCAGCAAAATTTCAGTTATGAAGTAGCAACAAAAGTCATTTTATGGTTGTGGAGGGGGAGGGTCACCATAACATGAGGAACTGTATGAAAGGCTCGTGGCATTAGGAAGGTTGAGAACCACTGATCTAGAATGTCCAGAGGCCACAAGGAGTAGCTGTCCATCAGAGCACTGCAGGTGGGATTTGGGGCCTCCATCTGAGCCTCTCTTCCCTTTGCAGGGAGCTGCAGGTGGGCATCCCGGTGACTGATGAGGAAGGTCAGAGGCTTGGCCAGTCAGTGGCTGCAGCCAAACAGGGGATCTTCCAGGTGGTGATATCGAGAATCTGCATGGCCATTCCTGCCATGGGTGAGGCCGGGTGGCTGAGTGGGGTGGGGCAAACTCTAATAGAAGCCACGTGGTGTTTGGAGTTCGGGGTGGGGTGGGGGCTCTGGGGGTGGTAAGACTTGGGAGAGTGGGAAAGGCACTTCCCTCTTTCTTAGGGCTTCCTATTTTCACCCCACTAACTCCCTCCCTGCCTGCTCCCCCACCCCCACCCCCAGCCATTCCCCCCGTGATCATGGACAGTCTGGAGAAGAAGGACTTTCTGAAGGTAGGTGATGCACGCCTCTCCCATCTTGGACGTGCTGGTGACTGGGAGCAGAGGTGACCAGCCCTCCACTCAGCCCCCAGGCTGACCCGAGTCCAAAACCTTTCACCTGCCCTCCCCACTCCCTCATTCACCTCTCCACCACCTCACCCAGGCTAGCAAGAAGGAACTGAACCTCTAGGGGTAGGCCTGGGGTTGGGGTTGGGGGACGCCAAGGGAGTGGGCAAGGGAGGAGGTGGCAGGAGAAGACAAAGGGCTGGAGGGGGTGGTTTCTGCTCTGAAGGAAAGCCTCGTCACTCCAGGGACCTCTGATAGATGCAGTAACAGACCTTCACGGCCACACCTGGCGTCATAGCATGCCATCATCCAGTAATCATGGGACACACCTGCACAGGCACTAACCAGACTAGGAAGCAAGGCACAGGCATGCATGGGCTCCTTCCCTCACGAATATCTACTGAGCGCCAACTATGCCCCTTGCATGTCCTTGGGCTGAGAAGGCGTTCAGAATCTGCTAATAAGGACACAACCCCACCGCTCTGTAGGAAACCAATGGGGCAATTTCGTCGACACTGTCAGGGAGGGCGGCTGAGAGAGGGTGGCTTGAGAAGGTACCTCTGAAGACTCAAAGCTGGGAAGGAAGAGCGTGGGGAAGGGTGTTTCAGTTAGAAGGAACAGCAAGGACGAAGGCCCCACGGCAGCGACTTTCAAGAAACAGAATGGGGGTCTATATTAGTCTAGGTACTTTGGAGAAACAAATCCACAGCAACTCATATATAAGAGAGTTTTATGTAAAGAAAAGGTGCATCACGAAAACATCCCAACCCAATGCTGCCCAAGCCCACAAGTCCAACATTAACCCATTAACCCAACACCAGTCCACAAAGTCCTCCACCTCACAAAACAGAGGCGATGATGCCGACTGTAGGAGGAAAGCTGAGTCAGTAACTGAATAGGCATCTCAGCACTAGCAGGGATCTCCACACGGCTGCTCCAGCACCCAGGGCTGCATCGGGATAGGTCCATGCGGCTTCTCCTTAGGGATGTCTTGTAGGACGTCAATCTTGCAAGCTGAAGCAGGGAGCTGCTAAGGCAGCTGTATCCTGGTGCGACCATCACAAAGCAAGAGACCCGAGAACTAGAAAGGCGAGGCTCACCACCCATTTATCCCTCTGCCTTTCAACCAGCCCCACATGTGATTATCGGCCAGGCTGGCACCATTAACTAACTCAGGGTCCCTATGGTTCAAGCTGAGAAGGGTGTGCAGAGCAGATGTGTTTGACAAGGGACATATTTGTGCCACTGGGATGGGAGGAAGTGAGTGGAGGGTTAGAGGAGGCTTCCTGGAGGAAGTGAGGAAACAGAAGGAGGGATGAGGAGGGCTCTGGAAGATGATCGGAGGCTGGAAGGCAGGAATGGGTGAAACAGCAGAGGATGGTCAGCAAACAGGCCTGGGGGCATAGAGTGGACCTCCTGGAGGTCACTGCCCTGTGACGGGCTCGGGAGAAAGTCCAGAGCCACACACTTGAGGGCTCAAAGGCAGGGCTGATGGGTACAATGGCGTGGGGGGTGGAGAGAAGGGGACATATGCCATGCTACTGCCATTCTCTGTCTCCCAACAGCGCCGCCCCTGGCTGGGGGCACCCCTGCAGGTGGGACTGGTGGGCTTCTGGTAAGTGTATTGGGACTCTGGGGTAGCTGAGCGCCTGTTCTGTGGTAGGCATGGGTGGGCGATTGCTTTTTTCAAGATGTTTATACACATCATTCCTTTACATATTCAGCTCATGGGTGTCCTGAATGCCTGCCTGTAGGTGTGCTCTGTGTGTGTTGGGGGTAGGGGGGGATGCTCCCCATCCTTGAAGATCATGGTGTCTTGTTGCGGGGGTTAGAATCTCCATATTCAAGAGACATCACGGACATTAACTTTCAGCACCAGGTCCATTTAATTTCTGATTTACCACTTCCTGATGAGGGGCCTTTGGATCCAGGGCCCAGAGACTATTCTCCTCCGACAGAGCAAAATGTCAGGTCCTTCCAGTTTTACTCCATCTCCATCCATCGGGGCTGTCCCCAGAGGTGGGGCAAGCTGCAGGGAGGGAGCACCCTTAGGCCAAAGCTTCACCAGTCTCTCCAACTGTCTCCTTCCTCAGCCTGGTCTTTGCCACCCCCCTGTGCTGTGCCCTGTTCCCCCAGAAGAGGTAAGTGACACCCAGGGTGGGTGGGTTCTGGTCAGATATCTATTTATCAGGACCCACTGTCCGTAAGGGTCTTCTGCATTTCCTGAGAGGAGGACTGGCAGCACATGGCTGATCCTGAGGGTTGGGGGAGGTGGCAGTGAGTCAGCCCTGCTAGCAAAGGAGAAAATTCATCAGGCCAGCCATCTCGAAGGAGGGGCAGCTGCTTAGCCTGAGAGGGGGACACTCAAGTGGCCTTGCTGTTCTGTTGCAGCTCCATCCGTGTGAGCAGGCTGGAGCCGGACCTGAGAGCTCAGATCCATGAGCAAACTCCCAGCGTCCAAGTGGTTTACTACAACAAGGGGCTTTGAGGGAGGGCTGGCCCTCCCACCCTCCTTAGCCTCCTTGGGCTGCTGCTTGAGTGGGGCTTAGTCATCTCGGACCCTTCCTTGGCTGCCTGGCACTGGGCAAGGGGCTGTGGGAGGAATTCTGAGAACAGCAATAGGTTAGGCCCAAGGGGGTGCTCCCATAACCGCTCTCTCTCCACTGGTACCGAAGAGCAGAGTCAGGTAACCACTTCCTCTGTGCGTGCCTGCGTGCGTGTGTATGTGTGGTCCTGGGATGTTCTGAGATCCGCCTTTCCCCCACTTGCCATCTAGCCAGGTTGTAGCACTGTCTTTCCTAAACTGTTCTCCTAGCCACCTTCCCGACTGCCTTCCACGCTTTCCACAGACACTGAGAGACATCAGCCGAGTCCTTTAGATTCTGATTCATGGCTTCCAAAGCCGACTCGGGAACGGGGCTGGCCAGTGAAGATACGTTAGGATCACGGAGGCAGGGGGCATATACATCCCTACAGCCTGAAATCTATTCACGTCTCTCCTCTCTTCTCCCATCCCCCTTCTCCCCACTCCTCTCCCCACCCAGAACAAAGACAGTCCAGAATCCTCTCTTGCCCTCATCATCTCCCCTACTCCCCAGTGTGCACATCACACAATCCTAGGAGCCTTGGTCTGCTCTCACATCATGATCTCCAATCATTCTACACTCCCACCCCCCACCCCCACCTCAAAAGCCACAAAGGCTGGGCAGACTCTCCCTTCTATGAGCCCTCAGCTGACCCTCTTCCAGAGGGACACAGCTTGGGAGGGGTGCTTGAACTCCAGGAGTAGCTGAGTGATTGTAACTAGAACACTTAACTAGCCCGAGGGTGCCCTCCTCATGCAGGGACTTTTGTGCTCCGTTGGCCTATGCTAGCCATTCAGCAACCCCCCCTCCTTATCTCCTTCTCATTCTTATGGCTTGGCTCTGCCCCTACCCCTATCCCACCCTGGAAAAGAGGAAGGGCCCAGGCACAGATGGTGGGTCAATGAAAGGCAGGTGTGGTGATGGAACTGGCGGTGCCAGGCTCAGAGTAAAGAGAGGAAAGGACTTTGGCTCCAACTCCCATGACCTCTGATTGAAGGAGTTAGAGAGACAGGTGTATAGGGCCCCCACGGGACCCTCTGAGAACATTTTCTTGCCCTTCCAGTCACCCTCCACCAATGACACCAGTGTTACTCAATAAATCGTAAACCATCCTGACATTGATCTTCATTTGATTCCCTGACCTGAATGCCCAGGAAGAGGACTGTGGCCTGGCTGCTTCTCCCTGCAAAATTCAAGCCTTAAGTTTCTCCCTCTCTACTCTTGTAGGAGCCTCATTGCCCAGCAGAGGGCGATCTAAGATTAGAAATCAGTTCTATCAGCTCCTGTTGTGTACTAAAGCCAAAAACCCCTACCACTTCCCCTGTAAAACAGAGTAGAACTGTTTCTTTGAGTTTGTAATCTTTATGAAAGTAGACTGCCTCATCTTTCTTCCATGAAGTGGCTGGTGAGGCCCAATCACTGACCTGAGTCCCACATCCTTTACTAAAGTAACCATCCACTGCCATCAAGTCGATTACAACCCAAGGATTTCCAAGGATGTAAATCTTTATTGAACAGATAGCCTCGTCTTTCTCCCTTAGAACGGATGGTGGTTTTGAACAGCTGACCTTGCAGTAATGCAACATGCAACCACTACACCACCTGGGTTCCCATGAATGGTCCACAGAATAGTCTATTAATTTGACCTGGGGGTCACTTACTCTTCTTTGGGTGTGTAAAAGTTTCCTTGTATAGAAAGGGAGCAACATCAGCTATTATTCATTGAGCCCCAGGGTCTGGTGTCACTCAGTGGTGTCAATCTCAATAAAGCCAGGTGCTGTAAACCTACTGTCTCTTCTGATCTTCACAACAACATCAGTGAATCTAGGCATATATGCATTCTTAGCAAAGAAACAGGCTTACCGACACTAAGAAAGTTGCCCTCAGTTACACGACCAGGAGGCAATGGGCCCAGGATTCAGCTGAGGTCTTTGTGACTGGAGTTACTGTGCACTGCTTCCTCCTCATTAAGCATCCTGTCTAGTGCCAGACAAACTGGAGGCAATAGACATCCTGGTCCCTTTGACATCCCAGGATATCTCCTCCCAGGGCCCAGGTGGTTTGCAAGCCAGCAAAATGGATAGGCCCACAGGTGTATACAGCCCTTTTCCCAACTTGAGGGTTTTATAGCTGAAGCAATAAGCAAAGAATCTCATTCTTGATTAAGTATGGGAGAACACCAAGATCATTCAATGTAGCTCCAATTCCATCCCATTCTGCCAATCTAGACTAGCTCTCCCCTCCCAGCTGGCAGGGGCCCTCCATTCTTTGTTGGAGCCACTTTCGGCGGTGATAGTTTCACCTCTGAGGATCCTTTTGAAAAAAGGATACACACACATAGATATATATCCTTTATATAGAGAGATGTATATGGGCCCTGGTGCTATAGTGGTTACACACTGCTGCAATCTCCATGGTTAATAGTTCAAAACCACCTGCAGCTTCATGGAAGAAAGACTAGGCTTTCTCCTCCCATAAACAGGTACAGTCTCAGAAACATTCAGGGGTAGCAATGAGTCAGCATTGGTAGTAAGGCAGTGAGTTTGGTTTATTGTGTATATGTGTGGTAAAAAATTACCCATCAAATTAGGTTTCCATCTAATAGTTTTTGCACAACTTGTTCAATGATATTGGTTAATAGTCCCCTATGTGACAACATTCTCATGATTTTTGTTCCAGTGTACCATTTCCAGGCACCTAGTTTCCCTGACTCTTACTTTCTCATCTTTGCTTTAGAGCAGGGGTGTCAAACTGGCGGCCCTCGGGCTGCATGCAGCCCCAAGGTAATTTTTTGTGGCCCACGATGATGCTCTGAAATAAAATGAAAGTAGAAAAAAATATTATGAAGAAAGTAGCGTTTAGAGGAGATTGAGGCAATACCATACACACAATTCCCTCATTACATTTTATTTCAGAGCATCGGGGGCCACAAGAATTACCTTGGGGGGCTGCATGAGGTCTGTGGGCTGCCAGTTTGACACCCCTGCTTTAATTGGACTATCTGGTAGAGATGATTTTTTAAAAGGAGCTCAGTACTCATGGGATATACATATACACACACTTGTATATAAATCTTCAGGCTGTTAAATTAGCAAAAGAAGTGAATTCGGGAGGGTTTGGTTTCAGGGTTAAAGAGTATCGCAGGTAGTGTTCCAGCTTCATCTGGTCCAGGAAGGAATCTTGGACTTTTTTTTTTCATTTCTCAGAATTTAAGTTTTTTGGGGTTTTTTTTGTGTGTGTTTCAGATATTTTTATTTATTAGGATTTATTTATTTATTAGGATTGACTGAAATAAAAAATAGAATTGAGTCCCATCATCATCATGATCATTGTGGAAATGGCTTTAAGAGAAAACTGGTCAGATGAATATTATTGCTTCCCATTTTCAACCAGTAGGTAGTTGCCATTGATCTAGACAGCCAACCGTCTGCCAAGAATGCTTGAGATATGTTATATAATGCAACCTGCCCCAGAATTTAAGTTTTGTTCCATGTTTTCCTCCCACTCTTTCCAGATACTCTCTTAGGCTCCATCTACTGTGGCTTTCATCAGCACAGTCGGTAGTGGTACCTGGGCACCATCTCTCTCTTCTGATTTCAAGGTTTTATTGCAAAAAGCTAAGCCAGAGAAACCCACTTGGAAGTGAGGTACAGGAACCTCTGTAAAACAAAGCCCCTCCAAACATGTCCTAACAGAAATATCGGAGCCCTGCAGGCAGTAGAAACCATATAGGAGAGGAGTGGTCAGTCCTCCACTGGGCCTCTTAGGAGTGCTTCCCTGTCTTCTTTCCTTCCTAACTTCTCAAACACACCCGAAGTTCATTGCCGGCCACTTTACAGGCTCTCTAGGGGCAAATCGTAGCCGGCTATGTCTTCCAAACTGCCTCTCAGGCTTCATTTTTTCCGCAGAAGTCAGCATTTGGAAGGGGCAGGCCTTTCTCACTGCCCCGGTTCTTGGACAGGCCTCCTCTCTCCCTCCCAGTGCTGGGACTTCAAGAACTTTTACTTCTGGCCTTGGCTTTCCTCCCCAGGTTCTCCGCCATGCCTGGCCCAATCTGCTCCAGAGTCGGCCTCATTCTTAGCACCAGAAAGACCACAGTCCTCCTCCACTCCCTCCGTGTGCTCTAATGAAAGTGATCGCTTGAGCCTGGAGCGCTAGCACGGTCTGGCCGTGGGGAGGGGCTCACGTGGGCGTCATCTGCGCCTTCCTTCCCTGGGTCACTAGGGCTGGTGAGGCCCCATTCGGAGAGCTGGGATCCCAGGGGGTCACTCTAGCGATACTCTAGCCTAGCGGCCAGGTGATGGGGTCGCAATCAGAGTGAAGCCACACCTCCTCCCCGTCAAGCCTGTCACAGATATTTCAAGCCCCGGTCATGCTGTCAGTCATAGGCGGACCACGCCCCAGGAAAGAGCCAATCCGACGCCTAGTCCCGCCCCCGCCCTGGCAGCTGTCAATCAAGGTTAAGCTAGGCTCCGCCTCCTCAGGCAGCGGCTTTAGGGCCGCGGCAGGGCGTCCGGGTCACTGCCTTTCTGAGCCCGCAGCCCACTCGCTTATTTGCTCCTTGGCGCTCTGGGTCCCTGGACCGCGACGTCCTCCGATGCCACTTCCTCTTTTCCCGTTTGGAAACCTACACATTCCCCAGCGCCCGCCCCGCGACTTCCTGCCCGGAAATCCGCGAGGTCTCTCCGGCAGGCACCCAAGGCCACCTTTTTTAGTGTCTGTGGTGAACTTCGAGGCCTGGTGACTCTGCTGCCTGTTCCATCCGCCCCCTGCCCTCATCCCACCCTTACATCCAGTTGGTCAGGAAACTGAACTTTGCAAAGAGTTGGGGAGAGAATGGGGAGAGATGGACAGAATAGCTACCTTCCCACCTGCAGGAACACAGCCCGTGTGCCCTTTCACGCCCCTTTATCAACCTGCTCACACCTTGCTGGACTCTCGAGGTGTCCTGTTGTGGGAGATATCCGTTTGGTAGGCACTATGGAGCAATCTTGGCCCAGTGACATCATTCCCCACAAAAGGGAGCTTCCTGGACCAATCCCTACCCTGTTCAGAGAAGGGACATGCCCTACTCTCCTTATGTGGGGCTCCAGCCCCCTCCCAGGCAGCCAGAGGGCCATTGGCAGTCCCAGGCCCCTGCCTTCCCTGTCCAGTCTTCCAGACCAGAGAGGGTTTACGATTGAATTATGACCAGGAGAAAGTAGGGGGCAGTTTTCCAGACACACACAGATCCCCACTCCTACCACCACACAGTAGGAAAAGGAGCCCCATGTCCCTGAGAAGCATCTTCCAGATAAAGGGCCTGTTCACAGGGTGAGGGCTTGCTGCGTTCAGTTAACCCCCCAAAGGGAAAAACCAAATGCACTCCCCTCAAATTGATCACCCTCAATCAATTGAAGAGTTAAGAAAGGAGGAGTGGGAATGAGAAACGGGGAGGAAGTGGGAGAAGCAATTTCACACTGTGGAAATTGTAATCAGTGCCATGAAACGAAGTGTATATGAGCTATTAAATGAAAAAGCTAGAATGTTCTGTAAGCTGTCACCTAACTGATAAGTCTTTCCCCCTCCCCCGGGGAAAGGTTAGGTATTTCTTTGGACCTTGGTTGGGGCGGGTAGAATAGAAAATTATTCCATGAATGGATGGTGCTTGGGACCCTGCCCGAATGCAGGAAGAAATGAAGGACTCTCGCTGGGTTTGTAGTTGGCTTCCCGCCTTCCCTCTGCAAAGTCGCCAGGTACTGTGCCTTTGTAGGACATTTTCTCTTATTGGATTCTTAATCATTCCTTCTGGAAGCTTGGCCTTCATTTCGGTGATCCGGGGTCGTTCACAATGGGATCAATTAGAGTGTGTTAGAGCGCCCCTGGGGACTAGGGTTGGTGGCTGTGGCTAGGCAGCGGGAGCTGAGCCGAAGGTCAGCTGCCGCGAGATGAGGCCTCTCCCCTCCAGGCTCTGCTCTACAGGCCCCGCCCAGCAGGCCGATCTCCAGCGAACCGCCCCACACTGCACCCCCTGAGGCCCTGCTGGGTGTGTTGGACACGACAGCCTACAACCCCCGCTCCCCCAGGCCCTGGAAATCTGGGGACTGTGGAGGGGATGTGGGTAGCTGAAGCCCAGT